TTTAAAAAACACCTACCTATGAGAGGGAGAGATGGGTTTTTGAGGACAAAAAAAGTCCCCCATCTCCCCAATTGCTGGCAATTTGAAATAAACTTCTTCCCTTCACCGCAGCACCTGTCTCGCAAATTTGGTTTTCATGGCAATAGGCCATCGGAACCTGGCCAGAGGTTATTTCCCCAGTTACAGTCCGGCATGCCCTGTGCTTCCGAGGTTAGGGTTTAATGGGACACCAGTTTCCTGTGACAACCAGAGACCCAGACTCTGAAGTTAAATTGGGATGAGGTCTGTGTTCCAAGAACATTACAAAACTCAACCCTGTCCCCAAGAAACTGCTGTTGTGGGTTAGAGAATGGCAATTTACTGTGGTGAGGTTGAGCTAAACAGGACGCCCAGAAGGAAGCCTCTTCCCCGGAGACTGGTCAGGGTGAGAGAGAGAGGTGGGGACGCACATATGCTTTTCCAAAGCTAAGCTTCATGGAACATCCACTGGAAACATCCAGTGGCTTTTAAATGTTTTGACTGATCACAATTTGAAATATATTTCATGTTGTGACCCAGTGTATTGGATACATATAGTAGTTTAAACCACAGAAAACAGCTATTTTTTGTGTGTGAATCAAAAATGATTAGAAATGGGCAATTTTAGATGATCAACTTAATATATTACTAAAACAAAATTTCACAAAAATAATTCTTATATATTTATTTTATGCAATGCACTATTTTTTCTATGTCTCCTCATGACCCACAAATAAATCAGCTCCTATTAGGAAAAACAACAATAAAAACCTCTGACTTAGATCCAGCCCAAGAGAGAACTTTCAGGGTCCAAAGCAATGATTCTGAGAAAACAGGTTGATAGAATTCCAACTTCAAAGCTATATTTTATCTCTTATATGTTCTATCCTCTCTATTGAGCCCCCCTGCCAAGGATCACGAAAAATACATCTGTATTTGAACTAAGTTGCGTTTATTGACTACTTACAATAAGGGAGGCAGCAAAACACGGGAACTCACCATGGAGAACAGTGGGGCTTCTGGGCAACCAGTGTTAGGGAAAGGGGTTGAGGAAGCACAGTTCAGTTCTACATTGTACCTCCAGAAAGTGGGGCTGATTCTGTGGTTAGTATCTTACCATTTATCTAGGTCAGCCGTGGGCAAACTACGGTCAGTGGGCCGGATCCGGCCTGTTTGAAATGAATAAAACTAAAAAAAAAAAAAAAGACCGTACCCTTTTATGTAATGATGTTTACTTTGAATTTATATTAGTTCACACAAACACTCCATCCATGCTTTTGTTCCGGCCCTCCGGTCCAGTTTAAGAACCCATTGTGGCCCTCGAGTCAAAAAGTTTGTCCACTCCTGATCAAGGTGGTAGAAGGAACAGAAATGGGCTAAAGCCTTAATTAGTAACCAGGCACAGTCCTGTTTGTTTTTTCTGTTGCCTGTGCATTCAGACAGAGCTGGGGACTGCAGTGGTTTCAGTGGCCCCGAAGGCAGTCTGTTCCCCGGTCAGGATGCTACCCTGTATTTTTCCATAGGCCTTTTTCTTGTAGTACCTGAAGGCATAGCTTACCCCCAGAGCAACAGCCACCACACCCACTATGATCCCCAGGCAGGCGCCAACAATGGCCCCGACACTGGGCCCGGAGGCAGCCTGGCTCAAGAGATTGGCTGGCAGAGACTGGTCATTGATGTTGGCCTGCCGCCAGTGATCGCAGCCTTTCTGCCTCACCCAGACCTGCTGGCCACTGGAGTCCACCAGGACAGAGAGCCTCTGGGAGCAGCTGCTGTTGTTGAGCAAGGGAGGGCGGGGAAGAAATGGGGGCATGCGGATAGCTACCTGCTCCTGGTCCGAGAGGGTCCCAGCCCTGAGGCAATAGAGGATTTGGCACCCATCGCTGAGGAAAGCCTGGTGTTGGCTGTACCCTTCTGGACACTTCATGGGGTGGACTGTGGGACTGTCCTGGTAGAACATCTCCTGCAGGAACCCAGCGCTCTGGCCCTTCATGAGGCCAGCCAAGGGGTTGCCCACCTGGCAGCTGAAGAAACCCCCAAAGGGAACTGCCTGGGCTGTCCCCATCTCTAAGTCGCTGCTGACACACACCCTGAGGTCGGCAAAGAGCGTCAGTGGGTAGAAGTAGGAGGGGCAGGTCTGGCCTCTAGTGAGCGGGTTTGGGTGGTTGGGGCTATAGAGGCCTCCAAAGAGGAAGCCTACAGCGGCGGGCGGGGAGGCCTGGGTGGGCGCGCACCAGGAGGCCGCCAGGCGCACCACGCTGCGCAGCTCCCGGAGGGTGCACACGGGCTGGCAGCAGGAGAAGAAGAGCCAGCACGTCACGCACTGCTGCTGGCACACAGAGTGGGTCTTGCTTGATGTCTTCAGCTCGCTGTTCAGGACGCTGGGCGTGTAGTTGGCCGGGCAAGAGGCGTTGCCGGTGAGCGGGTTCGGGGTGCGATAGTTCTGGCAGAGGTCACCCGCGTCCTCTCCGGACACAGCCTCGCACTCCTGGAAGACGCCTCCGAAGCTGTAGTTGGCTGGGCCGCCGCCAGAGCAGGAGCCGTCCTCTACGTTGGCCTTGGGATTGAAGGCGGGCTCCCCGCGCCTCAGGCAGCCGGGGTGCGCGTTGACCTCGTAGTAGCGATAGATGGCGCTGCGCACGGCGGCCGCCACCCGGTGCACCGCGGGTGGGGGGAGCTCCGGCAGCGCCTCGGGCTCCAGCAGCGCGGGCAGGGGCAGGCCGGACCTGCTAATGGCCACCAGCCGGTTGCCGATGCCCCCCTGCCACGTCTGCATGGTGATGCCCGGGTAGAAGGGCAGCCCGCCGTGGCTGCGCGTCTTGGAGGCCACCAAGTTGCGCATGTAGTTCTGGATGAACTGGTTCTGCTCCTGCCAGGAGGCCGCGGCCCCGACGTTGACCGTGCGGTAAAACAAGGCGGAGGCGGCCAGTGTGATGTTGCTTTCCTCTCCGGCCCGATTGCCCACAAATTCCCGCTTTACCTGGTCCTCCTGCACCAAGGTAGCGCCGGCCTCCACGTGGGTGAGGACGTGCGTGCCGTACTTGAGCACAAGCATCTCCGCCAGGTACTGGGCCTCGCGGGTCTGGTTGTTCTCCAGGCGGTCGCTGAGGATCAGCAGATGCTGCAGAAAGTCAGGATGGAAGCCGGGGGCCTCCGAGGCCTTCACAGAGTAGATGTTGTGGCGGAGCTGCACTCTGGCCGTGACCGTCTCATACTCTAGGCTGTACTTCCTGACGTTCTGGAAGTCCACGGAGAACTTACCATTGAGGCTGGGGAGGAAGGAGAGCTCGGCGTTGATGGAGGCCGCCCAGGTGTCGGTGTAGCTGAGCCACTCGTCCATGAGCTCGGCGCGGGTCTCCACCACGCTCTCGCGCCGTGGCACCACGTACACTTGGTCTGGGATCAGGTACTCGCCGTCCTCCGTGGTGCGGCACTGGGAGTAGCTGCGCCCCAGCACCAGCCCCAGCTCCACGTTGCGCAGGTTGTCCCAGCCGCCTCCAGGCAGTGCCCCCAGCACCGACACATTCAGTGCCTGCTTGCAGCCTTGGATGGCGGAGACTTCCTGATTCCCCATGCTGCCCAGCCCGGCTGAGAGCAGGGCTAGCAGTGATGCCAGACACAGGGCCATGGCTGGAGGACAGCTTCGCCTTGGCAGTCCGCTGCCCCTCAGCTCCTTCATGGTGTGGGGTCGCAGAGGGAAAGCCTTGGACTGGGAGCTGAAATAGGCCCAGCCACCGGACAATGACTCCGTCCGCCTCAGGCCCCTCCCCAGCGAGCCATCCCATCCCCCAGGCGCCTCTCTCTGAAATCTCCAGGAAAGAATGTCAAGCGCATGCCTTATAAGGAGCGCCAAGGAGACTGAAACACAGCAGATTCCAGGCCTGGGAGATATGGACTTGTCTGGTGAATAGCTCGCTGTTGCCCTAGGGGCCTGAGAATTCATCTACTAGTATATGAAGAAAATCAATCTTTGCCTATTGAACACCTGATATTTAATCATCGCTATTGCAAGTGTCAGGCGCAGATTGGGTGAGGAAGTGGCCTAGGGACCCAGCCTGGGCCTCTCCCCAGGTGGCCTACCAGCCTGTGGCACTGTGGCTGGCACTCCAGGCTGATTTCCTGGAATAGCAGCAGATACTGCAGAAGTGAGCCCCTTCCTGGACTGTGGCAGGCTCGGGCAACTCTAAGAGATGAGATGTGCCAATGTTCCAGAGTACTGGGTGTGGACAGGCAGAACAGAGTTTCTAAAGGGGGGCTTAGCATATCCCCCAAACAGTCCAGGGTCCAGGAATTTTCCTCCTCCTTTTCCATCTGCTTGGAGCCCTCTAGAGACCCTCTTCCCCTGAGATTAGCCAGTGCTTAAAATGAGACCCTGGGCTAAGTGCTTTATAATCTTACTAGAGGCCCAGTGCACGGGATTTGTGCACTGGTGGTGGGATCGGCCTGCTGTGGGAGGGCCGCTCATCCCGGTCTGCTCAGCAGCTGTGGACCTGCCCTCAGAGCGGCTGCTCCCTGGTCCAGGATCTTGCGTGGAGCCAGAACACTCACCTCTCCAGGGGACCCCGTGGGGCCGGGCCCAGGGACAATAGCACTGAGAGGCGGCGGAGTAGGCCTCAGTCCCGCTGCAGCCACGAACCTGCCTCCCAGCCTCTGGGGTCAGCTCTGTGAGCCCGGATGCGGTGCTGCTCAGCCTGCAGGCTTCCAGAGGAGGCAGCAGGGAATGAGGAGGAGGAGCCTGGGGCGAGGAGGCAATGATTGCAGCCCAGATTCCTGCCCATCAGCCAGGGGTTTAAACTGGAGCAGCCACTCATCCCCATTAGCCGAGCAGCACTCCCACTGTGGTAGCACACTGACCACCAGGGGGAAGCTCCTGCATTGAGCATCTGCCCCCTGGTGTTCAGTGCACATCATAGTGACTGG